CCGAGCCTGCGCGGCGGCGGTGGGAGCGGCTGGGTGCTCGTCCCCGGGGTGGAGGCGGGCTCCGGGAGGAGCTGCAGCGGCTGTCTTGGCCCTGGCGTGGCCGCCGTGAGCGGGGTCAGGCGCGGGGGGTGCCGGAGGCCGTGCGGGGGCTGGCGGGCAGGAAGGTGCCGTAGTCGCTCACCACCCTGGCGTGTAAAACCTCGCGTCTGGCCCGAACGCGGACAGAGGGACACTTTTTTTCTGTCTTAGTTCCCGGTTGCTGTTGGGAAGGGGGGCGCGGGGAGTTTGTTTCCGCGCTCGGTTCCAAGCCCTTTCCAGCCCGCGTTTAGCCCAGAGATCCCTCCTCAGAGCCGCAGCCCCAGCGCTTGCCTGGGCTTGTGTCCTTGGCTTCCTCCTCATCTGCTTCGGCTTCCACGGCCCCTGCTTGTGGTTAGGTTTGGGGTTTTTTTCTGTTTCTCCTTTACGGCTACATAAGGCTTCATGGAGCACTCGGGGATGAAACTCCCCCCGCCCACACGGGCCTCTCTTTTCCGCGCTGACATGTTTTCCTGCCTTCGGGTGGACTTCTTCCTTAGTATTGCTCCTAAAAAACAAAAAGCATCATTGTTTTGGGTTTTTTTGTTTTTGTTTTTTCAAGTTATTGTAAGTGGAGGCCAATAGATACACCCAGTCTATGGCAACGCAAAGCATGTGGCCTGGACTATATGAATACTTTTCAATTATAATATATATTATGTCTTAATATGTCCGAGTATGGTAGCGATATATGCTTCTGAACTTCTCATGCTAGGACTTCAGGTGTTATTGAGGGGATGGCCCAGAACTATGGTGCAGAGCTTTCCCCAGACCATCTTAATTGCCTTCTGCTAGGAATTTTTAAAAAAACAAACCACAGAACACAACACAACAAACAACAAACCCAAACCCCAAAACAAACCTACGCACTTTTCATAAAAAGAACTCTGAGATCATTAGCTAACATTTGGAAGTCCCTGAAATTAACATGCGTGAAGGACCGTGGCCAAACTCCCACCGGCTCCCATAAAAGCAGTAATCAGTCCTTCAAGCAAGATTCTCTACAAAATAACACCCAGAAGCCCCTGCAGAAGGGATTGCCAATCTCACCATCTGACTAGATTAAAAACAGCAGTAACAATGTGATAATTGACAGGAGAAACTTCCCTGACAAGGAATGAATCAGTGTTTATTTTTAGCCTTTTTCCCAAACGCCTTATTTAAGCAGAAGATTAACTAATTATTTCCGTCCTTATATTGTCCACGCTAGAAACAGGAGGTGGCAGGTCCTTGTGTATCTGCGGGGAGCACTTTGTCTTGGCTCATCCTTTGAGGTCCACGCCCTGGATGGATGCAATTGTTCCAATTGTCCTTTCATTTCTAGGCCGATCAAATATGATAAGTATCAAGGTTTCACTAAATCGAGACAACCCCTAATCAATATTTTCTTGTTTCCTAAATAGGAACCCTCAGAAAATGTACATTGTGATTTTCTCTGTATCCCACCTTTGCTCCAAAGCTTCGCTTGGACAAGGGGCAGTATTAATACAGCCTTTTGCCATGATGGAGCACTCACTCGCGCTCCGAGAAGAGAAGGTTGCTCTACTTGTGCAGGGAAGCCTGCAATAAAATCTTATTTAGGAGAAGGCTGCTCACCTGAGAAAAGACTGCCTAAACATTTATGGGATAAGTGCAAGGATAGAGTATCAGTTCCAGTGACACCAAATAACATCTCTGTTTCTGGTAATAAGCTTTTTTTGGGTTCTACTTTGTTTTGAAGCGGGGGACTTGAAGTGTTTTTCTTAAATTTTGAATGAATTGTGGATCGCAGCGTGGGTTTCATTAGCAGGAAAAGAATGAGTCTTCTTTGAAAAACTCGAAGGATATATTTTTGTGGCTTATCTGCTATGGAACTAAGAAACATAAATGACACTTTGTTTCATTGTGCTGCATATCTATAATATGAGGATTGCTAAAAAAAGAGAGCTGATTTACTGGTCTCTTACTTTCGTGGTCTCAAAGCAATTATACCACACTAAATTCATATGTCAAACTATATTAATTTTAGTCCTGAAGAGTGAGTCTCATTCTCAGAGTCCAAATATTTATTTCAATTGACAACACTGGTGTAGAATTTATTTTCCGTGCTCCTTAATATTTCAGGTAATTTTGGGTAAGACTACTTGGGCTAGGCCAATTCTATGTAAAATTGTTCATTTGTACCACTTCAGTGCACACCTGATTGCTCCTGAACAGAGTGAAATGTGAAGTAGAAGACTATAGAAATCATTGAAAATTACCAGTTTCTTCATATGCAGCCCACTCTTCTCTTACATAAGAGCAAGTTGAATCTTTGGTATCTCATTTCATTTGTTAGCACAAGAGATGCATCAAAATGGATTTTACGTAGAAATCAAAGTATCCTTTCTCTCTTTTTTTTTTTTTAACATTTCCTGAGGAGACCATTGCAGAATCGGCTTCTCATTGGGAAGAGCTCTCTGCCTTACAGGTATGTGCCTTGCAAGTATTATCTGCAATGGTGACCCCGCACCACCAGATGATTTAATTTGTTTAGAAGAGAGATAAATGTAGAACACAAACAGGAACATTGTACAAAGTGATCTAATCTGTGGGCAATCAGGCCAAACAAATCAATGAATCATTCATAATCATTTACACACATCTGCATTGCAAAGAGATACAGTTAACTACAAAGGAAAACATCAGAGATGGGGGGGGGGAGGTGGTGTGAGGCAGGGAAGAAGGTAAATAAGGAAGATTAGTAAAATCTGCATGAAATAAAACATGGGGTTTTAACCAGCATTTATTTTATTGGCTACAGGCAAGTCCAAACCATAAGGGTTTAGGGCAGAATTTGAGCTATTAAATCTGAGATGGTGAAAAACCCCGATGAGCTATTGGATCGTGCCTAAATTCCCAAGCCACCTTATGTGTTTTTATACAAGCCATTCTGCTGTACAGAGCCTCCACAGGGCTAAGCCGCCTGGCACTCCTGGTATCTCAACTCAGTCAGGAACTGAAGGCTATGTGCTGCTCCATACAAGTCCCCAGAGCGGCTCAGTTCAAGAGTCTTCAAACCCCTCTGCTGGATGCCAGTGGGAGTGAGTCTTCACAAATGCAGCTGTGCCTGTTCCCTCTAAAAAAGACATTTTTATGATATACTAGAGCTGGTAAAGCATTTATCCAGGATGTGGAAGGTCTGAATTCAGGGCCTGTTCCTTGCAGATCAGAGAGATCAGTAGTCACATTGATGTCTGGGTGCACAACGCAAATAGCCTCAAGTTACACCAGGGGAGGTTTAGATTAAATATTAGGAAAAATTCCTTCACTGAAAGGGTTATCAGATATTAGAACAGGCTGCCCAGGGAAGTGGTGGAATCACTGCCCCTGAAGGTATTCAAAAGACATGTAGATGTGATGCTGAGGGACATGGTTTGGTGGTGGTTTTGGCAGTGTTAGGCTAATGGTTGGGCTCCAAACTAGACAATTCAATGAATTCTATAAGTATTCACTTGATACCAGCCTCAAAGCTTGATCACTCTCTCTCTCAACTCTGTCTCCTGCACAGGACACATCCAGAATCTCTGTTTAAGGGTGCTCCCATTAGCATTGGTGTGTTCGCATCTAGAACTGGGTAATGCCATGCCATCAGAGCAGGCTGAAAAGTAGCAGAGATTATTAGTTGAGATACAGCATACAGTAAGATGGTGGTAGGTACTACTTCTGAGTCCCAGGAGCCTCCCACTTCAGTACATTCCCACTCTTAAGCAACCAGCAATCTACATCCGTTGCCTGAACTGCTTCAATATGGAAAACTAGTTTAAAAAAATAGAATTTCTTAATCTTTAACAGAAACGTTCCTCTCAGCCTAGCAATAGCTACTCGGCAGTTTCGATTTGCAGCTATCAGATTGGTAGTTGATCTCCAGGGTTGTCTCTGGCGAATATAGATTTGGGAATTACCGCTGGATGGCACTCTTGTGCCAGAGAGTATGTAACTGGCTGTGATTTTATTTGGCTGCAAATACAGACATCTTTTAAAGACAAAGAACCAAGTTCACTTCTTTATACCATCATAAATTTGGAGTGACTCATGTAAGGCATCGAGTTTAATTTAGAGTTGCACCAACATAACTGGGAGAAGAATACAAACCAGATGTTGAGAAACAATATTTTGGCTATTAGTTCTATTGATAAAGCTTTGAACAATTTATGAAACTTAAATACAAGGAAGCAAGCATAGAGGCTATGGCCACAAAAGATGAAGAGCACCCAGCCTCAGTTCTTCTTTGTTGTTACAGGCTACACTAAATTCCAATAATCAAACTTAATGCTTTTTCACATGCCAGTTTTTTCACATTATCCTTAAGGCTGCTATATTATGCACACTATTCTATAAATAGACAAGAAAGTTCTTCTATGA